CTAAATGCCATACTGGAAGAAATTTTGCTTTTGTATGATATAAGTAGCCTCACTATTTTTTAGGACAAAAGTCTTTCTTGAGAATATGTTTTTCATGACATTCTTTTACCTTTCTGTTTGCTAGCAAAGATAGGATTGAACTACTTTGTTGAGTCAAATCCTGTAATTTGAGGGAACCAAATGGTCCTTTAGAATCATCTTTCTTGTATTACCTATGGTTGTTTTCTTTTCAAACTTCTGTAATCTTATTGAAATATGGGATGGCTCTGTTTTCTTCAAAAAATGCAGTGATGGCTTCTGGGATGTCATCGGTGTTAAGAAGGCAATCCAATTAGTGCTTCAGGTATTTGTTGCATAGTCTTGCTTTCTCTCTCTCTCTCTCTCTCTGTATATATATATTCTATCCCATTTAACTGCCAACTAAAATTTTGAACTACACAGGCAAGAGAGAAATTCACAAGTGAGGAGAATTCCGCAGAGAAGGTTGCAAATAGTCTGTTGAATGAGGCTAGAACATTGCGGACAAAGGATAATACCTCTATAATTTTTTTAGATTTTAACAGCAGATCCAGTATCTCTGGTTGTAAAGTTGATTCTTAAATATAAGTTATAAAGTTTAGCGTACAATTTTGCACCTCCTTGTCATTAGTTGTTTAAGGTATTCCATTTCTGTGCTTCCTGCTTCGAAATGGTGGCGGTGGCTAAATAAATGAGTGCGTCGGCAAAACAGGTCAGGTTAAAAATTTCTTTGTTCCAGTCCGTGGGAACTTAAGCTAGGTGAGTTGTGTCTATATTTGCATAGTCAACATGGAAGCACAAGTTTATATTTTTGCTAACCATACAGCGTTAATAAATCTGTCATAGCTGTAAGTAGAGATGGACCAGAAGGCCGACCTAACACAGGCTCAACTGTTTGGTTTGGACGCAATAAAGATTTAGGCTTTGTCTGGACACGGCCTGTATTTCGTCCAACTCATAATATTCGAGCGTATATCCCTTACATTAACTAAATAACAAATTATTATTTTAGTTACTGACCAGTTTGTCATATTTGACAATAAGTCATTATAATTTAATTTTTAAATCTATAAAATTGCTTCTGAGTTATGGTATTTATATATATCTGTGAAGATTTAAAAGAAACTAATAAATTTTTTTTGTTTTGTTCATGATTTATTTCCAATGAAGCTTGAAAGTTAAACCAATTAGCGCACTAAGTTTAATTGATTTATTTGTTTCTTCTAAAAAAAACTGATGAAAGCATATATTAAGGAGTCATGTAATAGCCATTCCTTTTTTTTTTTTTTTTCATTTCTTTGATTTTTAGTTTTAAATAAAAATGTTATATTTTAAGCTATCTTTATGTTACTCAATTAACATAGGGGGAATTTTTGGTAAGTTTAAAAATTAAATTCTAATGGAAATTTTTTTTATTAATAATCTAACATAAATTGTAGTTTGAGGAATAAATTGGTGATTCTTCATTAATTAAATTATACAATTCTTTTTTAATTAGTTTCATAAAACATACTTATGTTGTAACACCCAAGTGTTATTATTATTATTTTTTAATTATTTGAATTGTTTAAATTTTTAATTGATTTAATTTGATTTAATTTAATTTAATTTCATGAAAATAAAAATAATAATAATGATAAAATTGGATAAAAATATTATTTGGATTTAATTGAAATTGATTTTGGGAAAATGGAGTGAAAATTTGGATTCTGGGGGTGTTTTTGAAAAAAAAATCAGAAACCGGAGGTCAAAACCCAATTTAAAAAAGTTGTGCCACGTCAG